TTCACTACCATCTATAGTTAGAAGTTACATGAGTCAAATAGAGGTTAACCTCTTGTAAGACTTTTTGCTCATACTTTCTTGGTTTGTGTAAGTCTAGTAAGTGAAATTACATCTACAATTCCTATTCATATTCATTCTGATAGCTTAAAACAGCTTCCACACCGATGCCATCTTTGTGTGTGGGCTTACATACTAACTAGGACAGTGAAAGCTCCCTTCACCTCTCTATTCTCCTCTTTCAAATACATGTATCTAACAGCATGTTCAAACCGACCTGTCAAATCACAGTATCTAACAGAACTGCATTCTCACAGACCAACTATTTAAAGAAAAATTGCCAGACTTCATCAAGTAAAAATGATTTTTCAGGTACTGTCACATTCTCCAATACTTCACAATACACGTGCCGCAACTTCATCTACGATTTCACTCCAAAACATTAAGCAACAGATTTCTTACCTCATCATTGATAACCTCAGATTGTTCTTCCTCTTCTTCCTCCTCTAGATCCAAGTCATTTTGCCTCAGGTATGCTTGCAGCGGAACACAATGTTTCTTCTTAAAAGCTAGAAAGTCCATCATATTCCCTTGAAGATGTTGCAGGAAAAACAGTTCAATCAAACATTCCTTAAAAGTTTCCTTAAGAATTTCCATCTGCTTGTGGTGATGATCCAAACATTGTTTTCTCATTTGAGCAGTCTCTTGGTTGGCAGGAGGAATCTCCTCCAATTTTTTGGGTTGTTTTTTCACTGCTGTATTAACCGTAGGAGTAAGAGGAAGACTCGAGAGCCCCTGTGGTACAGTGGCCCGTGAAGGACTCGTGGGAGGAGGTGGTGACGTCATTCCAAATGCACTAGGTCCCCCAACTCCTGCTATCAATCCACCAGAAGTCCTGTCGTATCCAAGGGGTCTACCCAGCTGCTGTCCTTGAAGCACTTGCTGCTGCTGTTGCATAAGTTGCCCCTGGATAATATTGCTGATTTGGGGTGGCAAGCTGGTCGTCGTAATATGGCCCGGGCTAGTCAAAGATTGCATATTTGCTCCGCTAGCAACAGGGCTCTGAGGACCAAGATGATGAATGGTGCCACCAGACTGTGAATGAGGCTGTGAAAGCCTGCGTTCCCTCACCGTAGCAGGTGTCCCAGAAGATGGAAGCTGTACTTGTGCAGCAGCTCCCTGAGCAATCTGTGCAATTCCCGGTCCTTCTTGATACACAAAGTGTCCACCATTGGAAGGGCTCAAGCTGATTTGTCTCACAAGCACACTAGCATCTACGAATCCTCTAGTAGGGCTCTGGCTGCACATACCCAAGCCAGGGCCTGGAGTGCCTGCCCGAACGTTGGGCAACGTTTGCACCGGCACGGGGTTAGGCTGCGTAGGGCTCTGAGACTGAACCTGCTGAGGCAGCGGTGAAGTGACTTGAATATACGATGGGGATCCATGCTCAAATCGCCTCTGCTGAGGACTGAACTGGAAACTCGGTGATGTTGGGTTTGGAATGGGCAATGGGGTAAGCGTTATCTGCTGGTTTCCCGAAGCCACCGGTCCAACGTTTTGCAGCGTGATGTTCACATTCTGCCCAGCTACTGGACTTCGACTCATTATGAACTGCTGTATTTGGTAACTGGGGGACTGGGGTGCAGATGGACTTGCAGAGGGTGCAAAAGAAGCTGCAGGCGACTGGGGTAAATTTGCCTGTTGCTCTTCTCCCTCACTGCCCGTGAAGGACCTGGACCTCTGGAGCTGGCGCTGGGCATTCTGAGGACCATTACCATGGTGCATCCTCACCGTTTTAGGTTTTTTTACAGTATACTCTAAAGAAATACACAAAAACAGAAATTCAGGGCAGGTAAAAATACTCCTGTAACTGAAACTATTTAGTTACTATTCAAAAGACTACGTTACAGTAACAACTCGGTTGTCCTGTCTTTGCAGTACTTAAATATACTTAATTACGTTTAGCGTTTTATGTCATCAGTCAAATTACCCAAAACCGTCAGCACCACAAAAGCTGCTTAAATCCCTCATACATTTCTCTAGCTAACGAAGTGCTATTAAATAGTTTTATAAATTAGACATTCCTCTTAGCTAGTTAGAATGACTTCAAATAATTAAAAAATACTTTTTCCCTTTCTGTTGTATCTTGAAGTTCCACAGCCTCCAATATCAAAAATATCTTCTCTTTTTTGTGTTGCTTATTCCCAGTGTTCCAGTGCTTTTAACACTTAATAGTTTTCTCAAAAACACAACAGCTGCTTAAAATCTACAGTACATTTCTTCAACAATAACTAAAAATATTATAAAGTAGGCACAGATTATTTAACTTCATTGTTCTAGCTAGCTACTGAAAAAAAAGCATCATGAAAAATGTCCCTATCAAATCACCTGGACGTTTGAGAAAGTATTGTACTTGATACTTAACTCTGCTTCCTCTTTTCTTCAGACACTAATGCCTTGAAAAAGATTCAAATTAATCCAAATCTGCATTTCATTTAAAACTCTGTTTATTGAGCCAAGCTATCCAGAAATCCAAAAGCGTTTTGGTTTTGCGTTTTAATCATTGACGAACGAAAATTCCACTGACATGCACTGACAGGTAGATTCAGTGCTGGGTGTCACATCGCAGTAGCAGCAACAGAAAAACAAAACCTGCCTTTTTTTTTTTGTTTTTCCAAAACCTCTCGCATGTTTTGAAAGCAAGTTTCCTTTTTGGTATTTCAGGCCCAACACGCATACAAGTTCGCTGCCATTCGTCTCTGCTGCTAACTCCAAGTTGGTTACAAGCGGCAATAGGCAGCAGCACCTCAACACCGCAGCACTGCTGGCAGGGTGACGCCAAGCAGCGGCTCGTCCCGCTCCTCCGCTGTTGCTCGGGCAGAGAAACACAGCTCGAGTCTTCCGCTGCCCCGGCCTGGGCTACCTGCAGCGCTCTGCTC